CCCAGCTGGCAGTGCCGCCTTCCTGCTGGCTGAGCAGACGGGACAGGTGAGCCAGGAGGCCCACAGAGACCCCTGAGCCTGAGGGGCCCGCAAGCAACACCCGATTTCTCTATGGAGCAGTCCCACACCAAGCATCTGGCCAGCCCCCGCGGCAGGCAGAGGATGGCAGAGGCATGATCTAACCTGCACCAACTCCTCTGCTGGGCACGTGATCTGGGACCCCCCTATTCACCCTACACACCAGTGCCAGGAGGCGGATGCCACCCCCTGCTACAGGCAAGACATTTGGGGCTGAGTCGTGCCCAGTTCACCCAGCTTGCCAGGCGGCACGGATGGAACTCTGAAGCCCAAGGCCATTTGGGGAGCGTCTGCGTTACCAAGCCCAGGTCTCCCACGGCCCCCCGGCCAGCAGTGCTCCTCACTTCCCCTCGCCTTCGCGGCCTCCTCAGGGCTGCTCCCAAGGAAGGGAACTGGAACTGGGGGCTCTCACCTCCGCCCCCCCCTCCCCCGGCTCCTGTCCTCACAGGCAGGAGTCCGAGGCAAGGCTCTGAGGGAGCGGGAGGAGAGGGCCCTTGGCAGCCAGCCCCTGGCACTGGCCCATCTCCCCTTTCAGATCCCGCCCTCACGTACGCTCTGTCTCCCTGCCAAGTCTCCGCACCAAGGTCTAAAAGGCAATTTCCCCGTGGCTTAGCGAGCGCTCCTTCCCGGGCTATCTGCATTTCTATAATTATTAATTATTGTCGTAATTGTCCCTCCCGTGCTGCATGACCAAGGAGGCCTCAGACGCAGCCACGCTGCAGTCTCCGGGCCACATGGTAACTCTGTGCCCTGGACGAGCTGCTCGACCTCCGTCTCCTCACCTGTGCTGGGGTCACACGCCAGCCCTACGCAGTTGTCGGGGAGCCAAGCGTTTACAACAGAAATATAGGAGGCGTGCGCGATTCCTCTCCCGGTCCCATTCATCACGTCCTTAAGGTTTCTACTTCAAAAACGCATCCCAAATCCGTCCACTCTTCCTCACGCCACAGCACCGCTGTCTCTCACCTGGACGCTCCAGAGGCCTCCTGCCTCGCCCTGTGCTTCAATCCCTGCCCCTCCCCTCCCTCCACCGGTCAATTCCCTGAGGCTACCCAGAGGACATTTTTAGAAGGCCCATCAGATCACATTACTCCTGTTTAACCCCGCCCCAAACAGAATAATAACAACTGTTCTATTACTATTAGGATAATAAATCAAACTCCTTAGCATGGATCTGCACCCCCCATTTCCGCTCTGACCTCATCCTCTTCCACTCCTCTCTGGGGAGTCACACTGCTCCAGCCACACTACCCTCCTGCGGTTTTGCAAGGATGCCAAGGTCTTTGCTGCCACTGGGCCTTTGCACTTGCTGTCTCTCTATCTGAACCACCCTCTCTCCAGATCCTCCTCCAGGTGGCTGTCTCACCCACTGGCTCTCAGCTCAGTGTCACCTGCCCATCCTGTCTAAAGCATCCCCAACAACCACAAACTTATTTGCAGAGCACTTATCCCTATCAGACATTATTTCATAAGAAATGTATATATCCTGGCTGGTGTGGTACCTGAAGGTCCCAATAGGATATGAGCATCAACCTATGAATAGGTTTGAGCATCAACCTATAAACCAGGAGGTTACGGTTCGATTCCTGTCAGGGTACATGCCCAGGTTGCAGGCTCAATCCCCAGTGGGGGGAGTGCAGGAGGTGGCCATTAGTGATTCTCTTTCATCATTGATGTTTCTCTCTCTCTCTCTCTCTCTCTCTCTCTCTCTCTCTCTCTCTCCCTCCCTTCTTCTCTGAAATCAATACAAATATTTTTAAATGTGTGTATTTGTTTATATTCCCCACCACCAACACCAATGTGAGTTCTGAGAGGAGAGAGCTTGTCTATCTCGTTCACACTATATCCTCAGCACTTTGAACTGTGCTCGGCACAGAGAATGAGGATTCGTATCGATTATCGAAAGAATGGATGTGTCGGTAGCGATCAGTTATTGGTACCCATCATCATTATTGGGTTTAGTGAGCACATTCCACTTTATATAGGACTTCGAAAACACAATCTCTGTTGTCTTCATAACAATCCTACAGGAAGTTAACAGGACCAGTATTTCCCCCATTTTACAGATGGAGAGACTGAGGTAGAGAATTTAAACGACCAGGCCGAGGTTTCAGAGAAGGTAAATGAGGAAACTGCATTGACTTCCAGTGTCCTGCCCAGAATTCTTCAGGACCGAAGGGCATAAAGCTATCCTATTGGCACCTTCAGGCACTACGCTAGGCCAGCAGAGGTGAGTAACATTAGGGGACAGAGGCCCCTTGCAATGTTTTGAAATCCCACTAAGTCATTTTTTCTTGCCCAGGAAACTGGCAGGAAGAGAGGTAGTCAGGGTTCCAGCTAAGCTGAGCTGGATCATCCATCGGTCACCTAACACTGGCTTCCACTGACTGCAGGGAAATCCAAGGAGCCAGTCCCAGAGGCCCCTTAGGCCCCTGAACCCCAGGAGCCCAAGCAGCCTGTGGGTCACGTGGACCACCTCCTTGTGGCAGAGTCCATGTCTGTCAGCCGCAGCATTCCTCTCTCTTCCTTCTGACAGAACCCCCATCGCTTCAGGTATTGTGTACTCCCCGCCCCCTACCCCCCGCCAGTTTATATATTAAAACACTAACCCCCAATGAGATGGTGTTTGGAGATGAGCCTTTGGAAGGTAATTAGGGTTATTTGAGGTCGTAGGGTGGGATTACGATGGGATTAGTGGCCTGAAAAAGACACTCCGGAGAGCGGAGAGCGTGCTGTCCCTTCTCTCTCTGCCATGTGAGAACACAGCAGGAAGGCGGCCCCCTGAGGCCAGGAAGAGCATGTTCCCCAGGACCCAAGCGTGCTGGCGACCCAGCCCACCGTCTTGGACGTCCGTTCGCAGGTTTGTGATAAATACATTTCTGTTGTTTGAGCCAGCAACATTTTGTTATGGCAGCCCGAGCTGACTATGAGACCCAGCTTTGGCCATGGAAATGGAAGGGGAAGTCTGCTGAGATATTTTGGGAGGGATTGTGCTTCCCAGATCAAAAGAACTTTTCAAAGAGAGGCCTTTGGCCCGATGTCTTGCTTCCTGTCTTTGGATGTGGCTGTGATGCCTGGGACAGGCAGCCTTTTTGCAGTAACGAGGCACAGCAGTTGGATAATGGCCGAGTACAAAGACAGCTGGGTCCTTGCTGGCAAAGTGAGCTGACAAACCATCAGATAACCTCCCTCCAGACTCACTGTGATCTGAGCAAAATAAATGTACTCAGGGTTTGAATCTCTATTACACTTCCTGTTACCTACAGCCTACGTATTCCTAACTGAACCTGACTCCTCTGTGCCCTGTGGCTTTACAGCCTTCTCCTCACCTCCTCCCGCCCTCTCTTCCCAATGGCAGGCCATCTCCAGCGCTGGCCGTGGTTCTGAGCAGGGAGGTCTGTGGGCTGGGGAAGGAGAGACAGTCGGGTGCCTGGGAGGCAGGCTGCCACCCCGTGACTCTCCGGTCTCTGCTCCTCGGAGATTCCTCCAGGTCTAGGTTTGTGTCCCAGAGCCAGAGGCATTCTTGAGCAAGAAAAAGCCCTCCCAACCCTGGAAAGAAAACACCTAATTCTTGGTCACATGGTGGGGACCCAGGCCCCTACCATGGTCCTCTTGGAGACCCCATTCCAGCCGTGAAGCTGTGAGATTTGAGGAAACTGAATTTGCACCCCCCTTTCCGAAACATACTAAATGTGTAACCCCAGCAGGTGCCTTTATCCCCTCTAAGCCCTGGTTTCCCAATCAGCAAAAAGGGAACTGCTAGCGACCTCACAGGATTGCCGTAAGACTAGGAAGATACATAGTGAGGTAGGGAGGGGTCTAAGGCGGCCCTAGACTCCGGCCCCTGTGCACAAGCCTGCACGGCCCCCTCCCCTGAGTGCGGGTGGGGCCTGGGAGTAGGATGGGGTCCGCACTCCTGTGACTACTGTTACCTCATATAAGACTGTCCAGCGGACGGGGGAGGACTCTGCAGGCTTCGAAGAATAAGCTGTCCTGCTAGGAGCTGCGGGTGGCTCCCGGGAGCTAAGCGCCACCCGGATCCAACAGTCAGCAAGACTTTAATCTCCCAGCTGCAAGACACTGCGTTCTGCCCACAACCCAAATGAGCGCGGCGTGGACGCCCAGCCTCGGAGGAGATCACAGCCCCTGCGGGTGCCTGGACTTCAGCCTAGAGAGACCCTGCGAGAGGAGCAGTGAGGCCTGGGCTCTCGCCTAGAGACCCAGAGAGATAACAGATGGCTGTTGCTTTAAGCCGCTAGGTCTGTGGCAACTTGTTACACAGGAATTGAAAACCAGTATAATAATCTTAGTTTGGACCAAATGGCTATTTGAGTGGGTCAACACAGTTGAGCATAGGCAATTGCACATGGCACAGACTAACACAGATGTGAGGTGCCTGGCATGTAGTAAGTGCTCAACAAACCCCACTGTTACTATTCCCCGGGCTCCACTGGAGAATGCCTGGGCTACTCAATGGCTGACGACCTCTTTTTCCTAGCACTGGCTTTGACAGCTGCCTGCTGCCCCCAGGCCCTCCTGCCCCGGAGCCGCCCTCCCTGCCGGTCAGATGAGAGCCTTCGGAGTCCATTCACGCACCTTCTGAGAGGCCCAGGGACAAGTCCTGAGCCGACTGCCTCTCCTGCCCCCGGCAGCAAAACACCAGCCCGAACAGACAGCAGAAAACCGCTGGGGCAGAGGCAGCCGCTGCCCACCGGCCCCACGCCAGCTGGCGGGGAGGGCAGCTGCCTGGGCCAGCCTCTAGACTCCACCCCCTGCCTTCCCTGGGGGCCTGGGAGCCCCACCGCGGAAATGTGCTGTGCTTCTCCCACCGGACCCTGGGGAAGTGCAAAGGTTTCCTGTTACATAAAAAATGCAAATCGCTCTTTTCTAACCAGCAGGCTGGTCCTGGTCGCTGCGGCAGATGACGCACAGAAACCAGAAAAGCAGTGCGGCCCGTGGGGCATGGGACGCTGGACAGGTGAGTTTCTATTGGGTCTGCAGGGAGGCTAAGGAGGGCAGGAAAAGTCTGGAAAAGACCACCAGAGGAGAGAGAAGCCGTGGCTCACACTTCCTAGATGCCTGCTGGTATCTGGTTCCATACACCATCTACCCTACTCACTCAGAATCCCTACATGGCAAACAGATGTCAATAAAGCTGGGAGGGGGGAAGGATCTCCAGGACCCCCACAGACCCTGGGACTCGGCTAGAGAGACTGGGTTTTATTTACTTTCAGGTGTCAAGTAATAGGCGACACAAATTACTCTTCCTGGGCCAATCCTCCTATGATAAGGGTTACTGTACTTCCTTTAGAGATAAGGACGCGGGGGCTTGGCAGTTTACCCGATGTCACGGGGACAGAACTGGGATTTGGACCCAGGTGGACAGATCCCACAGCCCATGTTCTTAGCCACTGAGCCAAACAACCGGGCACTTTATAATCTGTGGCCCTAAGTTCACCGAAGCTGGTAAGAAACAATTACTTGGGAATGGACTTGGATTCACCGGAGAGATACCCTACCGACAGGAGGGGCCCGAACATCACCCCACAGCGTGACCCGCCTTCCGCGGAGGCCTGCTTGGGCCTCTGCTGTGGTCCTGGGCTGCGGCGCTTTGCTTGGCTGGGAGTGCCCAGGGGCAGCATGACAGGGGTTGGGGTCCTACCCCGGGCAGGAACAGGAGCTCCTAGAACTGTAGGAGGTGGCAGGGACCTTCCTGAGGAGCAGAGAGGAGAAGGAACCGGCCCCCGGATGCTAGATTCCAGTTCCCTGAAACACTGGCCTCCCTCCACCCCAGCGGCTCCTTCTGAAGCCCCCTGGAGTTCTCACCCCACCAACCCCTCTGCCTGCCCACCAGCAGGTGTCACCTAGATGCCCAGGGCAGGGGTACCCCATAGCCTCCTCCTGGGGCCCCGTCAGTGTGGACCTTGAGGTGCAGGGAGCAGGACTTCCATTCACTGGAGACTATGAAGTGCAGAATATACTGGAGAGCCATTCTGTGCAGCTCTCCCTCCTCCCCATCCTCCTCCTTTTCTCCCTGCCCCCCTCTCCTCCCCCCACCTCCTCTTTCTTCTAGAGCCTGGAGAGCTGGACCTGGTTGAGGGAAAGATGGATTTACAATTTCAAGCTCACCTATATTGTTTTCCTCCTCCCCTCTGTTCAGGTGACTCCCCCGCTCCTCACTCCTTCCTACCAAAACCCACTTTCCACCCTCTGGCTTTCAGATCAGGAACAGGGCCTGGGCAGGCCCTCCTCAGGCCGGTAGACCATGTGTCCTGAGAAGGAGTGGACACAAGGGTTGATCCCAGAACCACATCCCCCAAGATCGCAAATGCATCCCTAGGTACCTTTTAGGCAAAAGGTCTGACACCTCTACTTGGAGAGAGCAAGCAGGAGGGACCAAGCATTACTGCCTCGCTGTCATCATTGTAGCTACTTATTAAGCACCAACTGTGGCCAAGTAAGGGCCAAGTGGTGTGCTGGGCCCTTCACCATCCTCTACTCCTGTAAGTTAATTCCTCCAACAGTATTTGGCGAGGACCTGCTACGACATGCCAGCCACTCTTCTTCACCATCCTCTACTCCTGTAAGTTAATTCCTCCAACGGTATTTGGCGAGGACCTGCTACGTGCCAGCCACTCTTGCAAGCACGTGAGCTACTCGGCAAAGGAGGCTTCTCATTGTTTGCACTTGGCAAATGGAGGAAACCTAGGCTAACGGCAGCCCCAGTGGCGGAGCAGATTCCATGTCAACGTGTCTGACTCCAAAGCCACGGTGCCGGTGTCGCTGCCTCCTCTCCTCTCCACGGGAGCAGAGGGCCCGTGGGTCTGAGTCAGGGTGGGGATCTCTGCCCTCAAGTGCTCAGATAGTGACTCTGGGGCAGGAGGATGAAGTGCACACCTGAGGTGTCTTCAGAGGCTGAGTGCTCAGGAGGTGAGTGACCCCATGGCCCAAGCTGAGGACCCAGGGCCCAGGGGACACGGAAGACAGTGATGGGGGCTGCGTGTCTCGTGGCTGGAAGTGGAGGCGGGAGGCCAGGCTTTTCAGGATGCGGGGCATGAACCGGCAGAGGTGACGGAGGGGTGAGCTCTGGATGGGGAATGGATTGTTCCTGGGCTTGGAGGTGGGAGGCTCTGGAGACAGCGCTGACACAGGCATGATTGAAGGCTGGAGGGGAGTCAGGCACAGGGAGGGTGACCTGCTGGAAAGGGAGGGCGGGCTGTGGCAGCTGTCGGTGGCTGAGGAGGTGAGCCTGGAGCTAATGGGCCATAGGATTCTCCCAGAAGAGTAACTGGCAAAATGCAAATGGCGCTGGAGACGGTCTGAGAGCACTGTGTGTGGGACCACGGGAGAGACATACGGGAGTTATCAGGGGAGTTTGGCACAGGGGGGCCGCTGTGTTCCACATCAACCCTCACTCACCATCCTCACCATCCTCAACTCCCCGCCCCCAATCCTTCTCTTGACATGCCAGCTCAAGTCCTCTGGCTCCATCTCTACCTCCCCACTGCCTGGAATACAGGGGTGGGGGCCATGAGGGTGGGTAAAGGGTCTGACCACAGAGGGGCCCTAAGAAGATGGGGTGGGGGATTTGGGACAAGGGAAAAGCCAGGACTCAAGTCATGGGGGACAGGGAGAGTGGCATCTCAGGGGACCTCAAGGTGGGCTATGCCTGGGCCAGTGCCCCTCACAGTGGCAGCAAGGCAGTGGCCCGAGGCCAGCCACAGGGTGACTGCACTAGGAAGAAGCCCCCCCATCTCCACTGCACCCCCTCACTGCCTGGGGCAGCCTTCCCCTCACAGGAGAACCTGGCAGAGACCAGCTCTGAGATGGAGAAGTTACCCCAAAGCCTGTGTGAGGACTTTGGGGTAGGAGCCCCCCAAAACACGACCCCCCCCCCGGCTGGACTCTAAATCACACACCCAATGCTATAGCCCTTTGGCCTAAGATTTCGTACCAAAGTTATTGTTTTTTTAATGTCCCACTGAAACTGTCATCAGCAGCCACACCTCTGTGACTGGGGGAGTCACTGGGATTCTTCTCCCGGAGTCAGTGTGGTTGCTGGAGGTGAAGAAAGGCCTAGCATCCTGGGTCCC